CCAGCAGACACCTGGTAGGTGGTACACTGTGGTGGGTGTTGGGGAGGGGGAGGGCTAGGGGTTCTGACCTGCCCTCTCTCTGCCTGTTGAGAAGCAACGACCAGGACTTGTGGGTGTTCTGGCTGTGAGTGGCCTGCATTGGGTCCAGGAGTTTACTAGGTAACAAAAAGCATCTCGAAATGAGGGGTCTGGGGAAGAGCAGAGGGGCACAGGGTTGTCAAGCAGGGAACAGTCTAGAAACCCAAAATGGGCGACTGTGTAGTGATGCTTCATCTCTCCTGGTACCATTGTGTCTCTAATAAACCCCTCCTTTGTGGGCTGAATAATCCTGCTGAGTGTGTTTCTGATGAGCTACTGAAGGATAAAAGGGATTAATCCATTGCCCTTCTCAGAGGTAAGGAAATTAAAAACCAAAAACCTTTTGGAAGCTGGAGAGATGGCTCTTCAGAATGCTTGTTGCTTTTCCAGAGGACTTGGTTCCCAGTATCCATTTCAGATGGCTTACACCTGCATATAACTTCAGCTACAGGGGATCTGACCTGCTTATTCTGGAACCTAGGACACTTACACACATGTAAGCATACGCTTACAGATATACATATGTAAAAATAAATCTTACAAACCCTCAGTTATTGTGAAAAACTGTATATGGCATAACATGATTGCTTTTCAAACTAAATCACAGGGTCCAGCTATTTTCATCTTGTGTGTTTTCTGTCATATAAACACAGTTCATTTGATTATCTTCATTCAATGCCTGTCACATTGTCCTGGGGACTCACTGATGCCATTGAGAGATTCTGTAGTAAGAATAGCCTCTTCAATGTTGGCACTTCATCTTTTATTTTATTTTATTTGCCTTGATACAAATTCTGGTGGATTTAGCCAAAGGAAAGCTTTGCAGGACTGAGTCCAATGTGAGACCACAAAGATCCTGAGGCCATGTTGAATTTGAATGTGGGTTGGTATAAGCTGGGATGTGCTATAGGAATAATGTTCTTACTGAGTCAGGAAGACTTACTATAAAACTGAAAACATAAACCATCTCATTCACAATTTTTTAGGGCATAAGGGCAAAGGAGAAGATACAGTTCAAAGAAAGGGTACAAATTGCAGCCAGGTAGGGTAAGTTGACTGAATACAACTTCAGTTGGGAGATAACGGTAGGACACCGTATACAGATGGCTTGGGGGACTGATTTTAGGTGATCTGATCACACATCCAGAGAACGGAAGATGACTGAATGACGTGCTCCTTTGCCTGACTGCAGCAGACACTTCACAACACATATGAAGATGAAAATAAGCCCAGCAAACCATCAGCTGTGCCCCTCAATATATACAGGAAAATAGGCTTATGTTTTTATGACATTTATTGAGTGTGTGTGTGTGTGTGTGTGTGTGTGTGTGTGTGTGCGCGTGCGCGCACATGAGTGTGGAGGTCAGATCACAACCTGCAGGCGACTGTTCTCTCCCTTCCACCATGTGCTCCTTAGGAATAGGACTCAGGCCCCTTTACCTGCTGAACTATCTCACTGGCCAGATCTTCCAAAACTTTAAATTAAATATGTGGCGTTAGAATGAATTCAGACAGATTACACTGACTAAAATAAATAGCAATACTTGTAAGTAAGGAAGCTGGTTATAAAACGACAAATGCAGTATGAGGCCACTTATAAGTGTTTAGAGCTTTGCAGAGTGACAGGGGTATGGCTGCGCACACACAAAGCGCTCACGGTGCTAAACCACGTAGGAGAACCGCGCCTGAACGTCAGAGTATTCATCTGTTTTCCCCAAGCTCTCCCGATAGCTGAGCCTGTTCGCTTCTAATTCCCCTGGACGTACTCTAAGCTGAGCGAGGGTCAGAGCCCTGCCAGAAGTGCTGGTTTAAAGGTTTGGTCTCTCCTGGGGACACAGGGACCGTCCAACAGCAGAGAGTTTCCTTTTTTGGTTTTTGCTGTTGCTCTTCTTTCTTTCTTTTTTTTTTTTTTTTTTGGAGCTGAGGACCGAACCCAGGGCCTTGTGCTTGCTAGGCAAGCACTCTACCACTGAGCTAAATCCCCAACACAAGCAGAGAGTTTTCAAAACAGGTGCTACTGAGGTCATCACTGCTGCCTCTTAAAAGGGGCAGAGCAAGGAAACGTTTCAGATGTAAGGCCCAGGGCTGGGCTGGGTCCTGACCCTCAGGGGCAGGCCAGCAGAGAGAAGCCCAGGGTGCACATGGCGGGCCAGTGTGCGCCCAGGCCCTGACCAGCTCTTCAGGCTTCTCTGGTCTGAGTTCCTTCCACTGTGGCTGAGCGGGGTTATGTTCACATTCAATGACCGTCTCTAAAATTAAGTGAAATGACTGTGTAAGCCTTTGCCAGTGAAATAGAGCGGGGCACATGGTGTCACCTCAGCCTAGGCCTCTGTCCTAAACCTGTCTGACCAGTCCCAGCTCTGCCTCAGTCAAGATCCTGATTTGTCTTTGGTTGGCTGCAGGTGTCATGACCACTATACAGAGCAGAAAGGTGACAGTGTTGTGACCTTCAGAGAGGGATGAGTCCACGGTGGGGAGCTGAGGAGATGTGTCAGTTGAAGGTGTGTCGCTCAGTCAGATTTAGTCAGATCCCCGGCAGGACTTGGAAAAGGTCAAACAAACCTTGGGAACCTCTTTGGTCCTTTTTGTACCAGGTCACCTCCCAGGAACCTTGCTAAGAATCTAGAATGGTGGTTCCCAACCTATGGGTTACGACCCTTTAAGATCGAGCAACCCTTTCACAGGGGTGGCATATCAAATATTTTGCATATCAGATATTTACATTATGATTCATAAACCACAGCAAAATTACAGTTATCAAGTGGCAATGATAATAATTTTATGGTTGGGGTCACCCCACCATGAGGCACTGCATTAAAGGGTTGCAGCATTGGGAAGGTTGAGAACCACTGCTCTAGAGTATAGAACAGTGGCCAGCCAGGCAGGGTAGTGACTTCCAGAGGGGAAAGCTTTATTTCCTTGGGATTTATCCAGTGTTTATAAAAAGAAGGGCTTACTTCCAGAGATGCCCATAAATCACTCACCACCACTTCAGTTTCATTCTTCAGAATCTTGTTTTCTTGATAGAAATGAGCAGAGATAAAACCAACAGCTTACTCACTGTGGGAAAGCCTCCAGGTGCCAGGCCAGGCCCTCTCTCACCCACCTGCCAACAGAGGAAGCTGACCCCCGGGAAAGGAGCCGTGTGCACATTGATACCTCTTGTCCCTGCTCCTGGAGTCTCCAGGAAACGGCCAGCTTCCTTCTTCCTCCCTGTTCCTTTTTTTCTTAACATTTGTGTCCAGGTAGCTACCCATTTTTACATCCCACTTTAGACAAGCATGAAGAGGGATTCCTGTGGGAAAGCCCCTGAGACTTTGGTCTCGCCGAGAACAAAAGGAATCGTGTAGGAAAGCAAAGAGCTGCAACAAGATCTCTGGCACTGGGTTGTGGTACTTGTAAACCAAGCACAGATGCCTCTGCAGCTGAGTCCACCCCAAACACTCACAGTCCTACTGTGCCTAGACCCCACCTGGGAACATGGAGCAACCAGAACCTACCCTTCAACCTCACTGTCCGTCTACTGCTCCTCACAGTCCTCCTGGCGTGGCAGCAGGGCCCCGACTCTTGTAGACATTATCTTTCTCAGCCCCCTCAGCCGGCAAAGAACAGACATACAGAAGGGATGGTGCTGACCCCTGACTTACAGTCTTAGGACTGGGCTGGTTTCCCTACCCCACTTTTGTGGTTGGGGCTGGTGGAAGGGAGCTGGGTCCCTGGTAGTGGTGTCTGCAGCAACATTGTTTCTGAGACCCTTACAGGGCAGCCTGGCTTTGCCACTCACTGGAACCCAGGCTGCAGTGTTGGCCCGGGATCAGCTGTAGCAGGAGGCTACTCACACCAGACCTCGACTGCGTTTCTTCCTGGCCCATTGGTGACTTGCTCTACTAAAGTCCTCTCTGAGGACAGGGGTTGACCTAATTGTAAAGTTGTCCTGGGAGCATCTCAAGAGGAACTGCTGCAGCACTGATCTGGGCCAGGCAGTCATGATGCTGATGTACTTCTTGACATCGTGGCCCAGGGCCCCAGAGGGCTGGAAGCTGCAGACGCTCCACTGGGTCTCAGTCCATGGGGAACATGCTGCCCAGAACAGGGGATGGTGTCAGACCTGCAGAACCCCATATCTGCCAACAGCGCCTCATCAGTCACACCACCACCATCTTCTCTGTGGGGCGTCGAGTGGATGTGACCTGTACACCCCACGGGGCTCCAACTTTCTCATTCATCTATTCATTCTTCAACAAATGTTTGCTGAGGTCCTACTGTGTGGTGGCTGCTTTGCTGGTGGGACTCACACTAGAGTGGACAGCAAATATCGGGAGGTGACAATGTTTGTGGCGGGGCAGTGTCAGGCACTGTGTCTGAATGGAGGCTGCATGGGAAAATGGGGTAAGGAAGCCTTTTGTTGGGGGGGCGCACGCGCGCGCGCACGCACACACACACACACACACACACACACACACACACACACACACACACACACTGGTCAGTACCTGATACAGATCCACCCAAGAGATAACAAGAACAAATGTCCTGGGGATGTGAAGGTTTTAGTGAGTCTGAAGGCCTGAGAGGAAGCTGTGTATCAAGAGGGCGAGGGGCAGAGAACAGCTTGGTGGGCTGGGCTGGATGACTTAGGGCTGTTACAGGCTTGAGCTGCAGTTCAGATTTTAACCACAGTGTGAAGTTATCGGGGGATTTTAAACAGGAGGACACAGCCTGATTTGCATATTAAAAAGATTGCCCAGCTGCTGGGTGAAGACTGCCTTTTAAAAGCATAAAAATAGAAGTAGGAAGATGGTTAGGAGGGTATCAACAACAATCCGGGCAGGGAATAATCACTGTTATTAATCGCATTTCTCAGAGGGGCTCGCAGCAGGTAGTGACGCTGCGCTTTCATTTGCATAGTGACTCAGTGTGGAGGCCTTTCTCCTGTCACTGTGCTGGGACTTAAGAGCAACCCTAGAATGGATTAGCGAGCACTAGTTCCTGGGCTAAAATGAGTCTCCAAGACGTTGGTCCTTGGAAGGTAAGACTTTGCTGAGAGCTGGGAGCCCGGCTTAACCCTAGGCCTCCTGACCTGTCTGGGCTCTGTCCACTTCCTGAAACCTCAGGCAGAGTCCGCAGGTCAGAGGAGGAAATGCAGTGGCCAGACTAGGTAGTCCAGGCCCAGAGTCCTGCTGACCAGAGCCTAAGGGGTCTGGGAGGAACCAGGGTGCTAGGCTCTGCTAGAGCTATGCCATATGGAGAACACAGTAAATAAGACGTGCTTTGCCTTCCAAGTGCCTAAAATCTAGTCCGAAACAAACGGAAGGCTTCAATAAATAATTTAAGAATGTGCTGCAGATTAAAAGGCATATGTACACATAAATAACTTTAGGGGGACGTTAGGTCTTTTCCTTGGGACAAATGGGTCTGAATGCTGTTTGGAGGGCAGTGTTTTCACCTGGACCTTGGTGGTCTCCTGGGGCAGTCACTGGCCTGCTTACCAAGGTCACCCGCATCATTTGATCCACACTATACTGAAGCAGTCCTTACCCAGCGCCCCCCCCCCATACTTAGTGTCTAATACAATCGCTGCTTTGTTGACCTCATGAATTCTGTGCCTCAGGAATTTGGAAGGTCAGAGTGGGGATGGCTGGGCTCTGACTCAGCATGCCTAAGCCTCAGTTTTGAACTCCACTGGCTAGGTGCCAGAACCTGGGACCCTTTGACAGTTATGTGGCAGGCGATCTGGCTGGGGAGGTGCCAAAGCCTGAGCTGAACCGGCTGCTATTCAGTGTGTTTCTATGGGGTCTCTCCATGGGCTGGGGGCTCCTCACAGCATCGGGGCTCCAGGAAGTCCTGCTTCAGTCATGCACATCAGAGCTCCCACTGTGAGGGCTATAAGGAAGGCAGAAGCCACTTAGCTTTCTGTCCCACCTGAAAGTACCTCCACCCTGGTCACCGAGGCACAGCATTGCAAAGGATGCCCTGGTGTGTGTGAACCCACACCAGGTGGGTTCCAGGCCCCTGCCACACACTGGAGGGAACATCAATATTCAGCAAGTGAAAACCACTCTAGTGTGAAGGTTTAATGAAACCAGGAACTTGTGCTAGATGGTTTACAGCTATAAACCAAGGGCAGCAGAGATTTTTTTTTTTGATATGAAATGAATTTGAGCACAGAATTGTGCTGTGGTATAATCAATAAAATGCTGATATTTCAGTCCATGGACCAGAACACAGAAGTATTTGCTGTTACCTTGGGGAGGTGAATGGAGAAAAGGACCCAGCTCCTGAGTGTGCAACATGAGCATGGCTGTTGTGAAGACAAAGGAATAACAGCAGTTGAGATGCCTGGCCAAAGAGCCTCAGTGAAGATGTTTTCTGGAAGGTTCGTTTTCAATACTGCTTTTAAATGAATCTCTTCTCATCAAGGCTAGCCCATCAAGCCTTATGTTTGGAAGTACTTAGTGAGAATTAATAGTTACTATGTGCTTGACATAAAAATAGAAAGAGGGTGGAGAGAGAGAGAGAGAGAGAGAGAGAGAGAGAGAGAGAGAGAGAGAGAACACTGAAACCAGAGTGCCCATGGGAGAAATGGGAGAAATACCAAGGAAAGTGTGCTTTGGCCGTCTGATGCTCCGGTGGGTCCCCAAGGCCATTGCCTTCAAGACTGATCGCAAGTTTCTGTTGATTGCAGGGTGTGTGAGCAAGAGGAGTAAGTTCCTCTGAGAGGAAAGACGTGGTGTGTGTGTGTGTGTGTGTGTGTGTGTGTGTGTGTGTGTGTGTGTGTGCACCTGTCTTAGGTTTCTAGTGCTGCCGTAGAACACTGACCAAAAGCGACTGTGGAGGAAAGGCTTTATTGACTCACGAATCTCAGTCACAGTCCATTGAGGGGTGCCAAGGCAGGAACCTGGAGGCAGGGACCGAAGCAGAAGCCATGAAGGAGCACTGCTTACTAGCTTACTCAGTCTGCTTTCATTTATCACCTAGGACACCTGCCCAGCAGTGGCACCACCCACAGGGGCCTGAGCATTCCCACACTCACCATTAATTTTAAAAAATTGCCCTACAGATTTGTCTTCTGGCAAAGTAATGGACATATTTTCTCAATTGAGGTTTCTCTTCTCAGACATGTATAGGTTTGTGTCAAGTTTACAAAAACCAGTCGATACCTAAAGAAAGAGCAATTTAGGTTGATTAGGTTGATTGGACTCTCTCCCACTGTTTTTAAAGAGCTTTAGGAGATACAACTCATCCACTATGACATCTACCCATCTACAGTGCAAACTGGGTTAAGGTTGGTATAATCACAGCAGTGTAACTACCAGTACATTCTAAATTAGATGCTCTGGACAAACTAGGTAGCTAGACTAGCCAAACCAGCAAATTCTGGGTTCAGCAGGATACCCTGAGTCAGTAAATGAAGAGAATTATTGAAGAAGACACCCAAAGTCAGCCTATGGCTTCCACATGCAGGTGCACATGTGTGTCCTCATATACCCACACACATTTGAACATGTATGCATGCACCACATACACAAACACACGGGGGTGGGGGAGAACTCCATTCCCATTAGCAGTCACCCCTATTACTCTACACTCCCCAGGCAACCACAGATCCACTTCTGTCTCTATTCTGGGCATTTTTCACAAACTCATGCAAAGTGAGTCTTCCATCTGGCTTCGTTCTCTTTGTGATATTCTCCAGGCTCATCTGTGTCTCAGCCTCGTTCCTTCCCATTGAGGGAGGGATAACATCTCATTGTATGCATTTGTCATATTTTATTTATCCATTTAGCAGTGGAGGGACATTAGATTGTTCTCGTTTTGTGGCTATATGAATACCACTGCTATGAACATTCTCCTACAAGTTATACACATGCATATAAGTATACTTCAAAACACACACACACACACACACACACACACACACACACACACACACGCACATACAAATACCAATGTACACATGAACGCATATGCACATGAGTAGAACGCTCTTCCCATGTGGGAATCCAGTAGCCTAAGTAGCAGGAGCCCCCGAGCAGTCTCACCCCTTTAGCATGGAGCAGTAAGGATTCAGTCTTCCCCACTGAGGCCAGTGCAAACCCGGGCAGCTCAGCCACTTCCCCCCGTCAGGATGTGAGGAGTCAGGAAGTTGACCCTGTTCCGAGAACGTCTCTTCACCTTCCTGGGTGTTCCTCACAGTTGCCATGAAGACATTGAGCAGCACAGTCCCCACAGTGTCACACTCCTCAGGTCTGAATTCCTTGAATTTTGTCCTGTGTGGTGTCTTCCTGTGAGGCCTGCCCCTGGCCTGCTTCTGGAAGGCACCTTTTTCTTGCTCTGTCAGCACAGCTGATGTCACTTGGGGCCACACGTCCTGTAAACCTCAGGGTCTGCGCCAAGTGTGGAGAAAGGGCAAAAAGGGAGTCCATGAAGCGGGTGAGAGACAAACTCCTGGCTTTCTTCCTTCCCACAGACTGGTAAAATTCAGGACGCCCTGCCTGCTTCCCCACCAGCCTGGGGTGTGGCCATGGTCTCTGTGAAGTCAACTTTGCCTAGGCCCTCTCGGTCCCACCACCCCCTGCTCTGATGTCTAAGCTTTGGGGTGGCACAAAGATGTCCCAGGAGTAGCCCGGGGGCTAAAATGGAGGAACCCTGTCAGAAAGCAGCCATTCATTGATCAGTGAACCAAAGGGCAAGACACACATGGTCAAGTACACACACGGGGTGGGGTGGGGTGGGGTGGGGTGGGGCTGGGAGGAGGCAGAGGGAGAGGAAGAGAACACCAGACACCTTGGTTATTCACTATCGGCTCTACCCCTTGGGGAGCCCACCCTCAATGTTTCTGCATTCCTCTTCTCATCCCACAGATGGTCTACAAAGTGTAAGTCTGACTGCGCAGCCTTCCTGTCTGAAACCCTCCATTGGCCAATAAAATCCCAACTCCTTGCCAGAGTACAGAGATCCTGCCTGGTTCTTCCACACCTGACCTTGCTGGATCCCACACAGGGGCTTCAGCACTCCAGCATGTTCTGTGCACACAAACCCCATCAGGATCTCAGAAGGTGGTGACTCCATCAGGGTCTGTAAAGGGGTGGTTAAGTTAGATGACGCTGGTAGTGTGTCTGACCTGATGTAACTGGGCTCCTTGTAAGAGAAGATCAGGACACAAACACACGCAGAGTCCACCTGTGTGGCTAGGAAAGACAACCTCAAGGGGCCTCAGGAGGTGCCAGCCTGATGACTCCGCTCCCTCTGACTTCAGCCTCCGCAGCATGAGGCATAGACCTCATCTGTGGCTGTAGTTGTAGTCTGGAGCTGAGAGGGACACCCTCCTCAGTGCCTGCCTCTGCTCACACTGCCCACCCAACTCCCAGACATCTCAACCTTGGCCAGACTCCTAAGGTCAATTTGCCTCTTACAGAAATTCTCTAATGAATTCTTGATTAGGCTGAGGATTCCTTCCGTGGATATCTATGTGTCTGGTGGATGGTGCTGTGCAGGCAGACGGCTATCATGCGGCCTTGTGTCTGCATTTTGCCTGGCCATGGACATGGAGAGCTTAAACGTCTCACGGCACTGTACCACAGACATTGGCCCCTGGTGGGTCAGTGCTGGGTTCCCGATCCTCTCACACTGAGCCCGAGGTCCCCTTGTCCTCTCTACCCCAGCTCATGGATACAGGCCTGTACCTGGCAGGATGGGGGGAGGGGACAACATTTCTTCCTTTCTCCTCTCCCACCTTCCAAGTGTTGCTCAGTGGCTATACCTCCCATCCCAAGGGATCCAGAGAGGCCAGATTCCACCTCACCTGTCACAGCTGCCAAACATCTCTGCCTGGAGCTCCCTGATCTTCTCAGGTCTCAGGTCCACTTGAAGTTCTTGGAGCCTGTCCCCAGAACCCAGATCAGTGTGCTGACACAAGGAGGCAGTTTCCACCCCACTACTTCCAGACAGTACAGCTTTGCTTCATAAACATAAGCAGGCCACTCCATGGCTAAGACAGACCCTTTAAAACAATCATTTGGATTGGAAACACATTACATCACTTTTTTCCCCAAAGGCTAATCTTTAAAAGAGTGATATTTCCAGAATATCTGTATCAATCAGTGTGTGCTAGTGGGCACACAGGAGGTGGGTGTCTTCCAGTCAGAGGGTAGCTTCCCTGGTCTGCCCTACGGGTTGTTTAGTGGCACTGAGACCTGGTCATTGCTATCCGGGTGATGTCTGTGGCTTTGTGAAGTCAAGGACCAGAACACAGATTGCTGGGGGGTGGCAGGGGAGGCTGCATTGAGATGGAGGAAAATATGGAGCACAAGGCTTAGACAATGAAGTTGTCTCTGTAGGTTGCTGGGAGTCACCACAGGCTTTTAGGTAGAGAGTGGCCTGGGGACATTGATTTGCAGGGGTGACCCTCCCAGGCCCATGCAGGGGCTTTGACTGAAATAAAAAGAGTGTCACCCATGCCAAAGTTCCACGTCACCAAACAGAATATGAGCTGTGGTCAGACCTTCCAAGAAAACAGGAGAAATGAGAAACAGCAGCCAAGTTTCTCTTGCAGGCCAGTTCCAGTTGGCAAGACACTGAAGTTCTCTCCTCCTGATGCTTCCCAGAGAAGGGAACCTAAAGAAACCTGATGCTAATGCTCAGTCGTCTATTGTTCAGCCTCCCAGTCTGCACCTTAGAAGGAATGCACGTCTGAAATATCCACTCAGCTTTTTGTTCATTGTTTTACGTTTTTCTGTAGCTCTGTTCTTGTAGGGGCACGGTGATGCACACCTGTAACCTCAGGTCCTGGGAGATAAAAGCCGGAGGATCAAGAGTTCAAAGTTTTCCTTGGTTACCCAGCAAGTTATAAGCCACCCTAAACTGTGTGAGAACCTGTATGAAAAATTCAAAGTATGCAGGTGATGGTGGTGCACGCCCTTAATCTCAGCACTCAGGAGGCAGAGGCAGGTGGGTCTATATGAGTTCAAGGCCAGCCTGGTTTATAGAGCAAGTTCCAGGATAGCCAGGGCCACACAGAGAAACCTTGTCTTGAAAAACCAAAAACCGAAAAAAAACAAAACAAAACAACAACAAAACAACCCAAAGTATTAGTTTATTAATTTAAAAACAAAACAAAACCCTGCCCTCCTCCTCTGTGGCATGGGTACTCACTCTATTCTAGGATTTTGAATTGTAGTTTTGTTCTCTGGTGCCCATTTTACCCAGTCTACCCATCAGTGGAAATTTTGATTCAAATAATGGCCAACTGTTGCCTAAACCTAACCTAACCCTAACTGTTTTAACTCTCAAATCCTTCCACAGGACACACCCTTCCATAGGACACACCCTCCCACAAGATACACCCTTCCTTCCAAGCTAGACCCTCACATAGGACACACCTCTCAAGGACACACCCTCCTATAGGTCATACCCTCTCACAAAACACACCCTCCCATAGGCTACACCTCCCACAGGACACACTTTCCCGTAAGTCATACTTCCCACAGGACACACCCTACAGGATACACCTTCCCATAGGCCACACCCCCACAGGACACACCTCCCACAGGATACACCTCCCACAGGACACAACCAGAACAGAGAAGGTGCTCCGCTAAGGTGTTCAGCAGGGACGTGTGGAGGGAGAAGGTGCCAAGCGGTACTTCTAAGTCTTAGGAGGAAGACCAGAGAGTTCTAGACTATTAGGGAGAAAGCAAACACTCGTGACTGTGGTATGCTTTCCTATTTACTTAGTTTTTTTGTCTCAGTAATGTTCTACAGTTTTCTGTATAGGAGTTTTGTACATCTCGGCCCCAAACTGTAGCAGGGTGAGCTGACAAGTAGGGCATTGATCCCAACACACACAGCAGCTAGCTTCCAACCTGAGCAGGTGGAGACGATCTTCCTGGTCTAACTGTGGAGAAGGAGAATGACAGTCACTTGAAGAGTCAAAAACCCTCTGCAGAACTGTAGCAAAGAGACACTAGTTCTAGTTATGGAAGGCAATCTCTCAAGATTAAACTGCAAGATTAGTTTCATGTTGGAAGTTATCAAAGGAGACAAATGGTAAAATCATCTTGTGGTAGTTTGAATGTAATTGGCCCCCATAATCCCATAATCTCATAGAGAGTGACATTGTTAGGAGGTGTGGCTTGGTTGGAGGGGGTACAGACTTGTTGGAGGAAGTGTGTCACTGTGGGGGCGGGCCTTGAGGTCTCATACACTCAGGATACCACCCAGTGTGTCAGTTAACTTCTGGTTGCCTGCAAGATGTAGGACACTTGGCTGTTTCTCCAGCACCATGCCTGCCTGCAGGCCACCATGCTCCCTGCCATGATGAACTGAACCTCTGAACTGTAAGCGAGCAACCATAATTAAACGTTTCCTTTATAAGAGTTGTCGTGGTCATGGTGTCTCTTCAGGGCAAAAGTAAACCCTAACTAAGACATCTCAACAGAAGCAGTGTTTTACGAAATACTCTTAATTTTAAGAGGAACTCAAGCTAGAGACAGAGTAGAACTTTATCTTTTTAAAGCTACAGTAGGGTTGGAGAGATGGTCACATGTTAAGAGCCTTGCTGCTCTTCCTGAGGACCTGAGTTTGGTTCCCAGCACGCATGTCAGGTGGCTCCCAAGTGCCTGTAACTCCAGGGGATCTGATGTCCATTTCTGGCCTCCACTCACATTGCAGAGAGAGAGAGAGAGAGAGAGAGAGAGAGAGAGAGAGAGAGAGAGAGAGAGAGATTTTTTTAAAATACAGTAAACCTTTTATTAGGTGGCAAAGTGATTTCTCCCTGAAGTTGAGAAGGAGACAGATCTGTTCAAGGCCAGTAAAACAAATCATATAAAAAATATAGATATGTATAAGAGTTACTAAGGGATCAATAAAACTATCATAATTCCCAGATGATGTGTGTGTGTGTGTGTGTATGTGTATGTGTGTGTGTGTGTGTGTGTGTGTGTGTGTGTGTGTGTGTGTGTGTGTGTGTGACTGGAGGCCAAACTGCTGTCTTTCCTCCTCACTCTCCACCTTTCTTTGTTACTGTCACACACACACACACACACACACACACACACACACACACACACACACACACCTCCATCTGGTTTTCTTTGAGACAGAGTCTCTCTTTTAACCTAAAGGTCAGTGATTCAGTTAGGCTGGCTGGCCAGTGAGCTTAAGGAATCCTCCTGTCTCTGTGTCTCATCCCAGGTCCCAGCAATGGCGTTAAAGCATGTGTCAACACACCTGGATTTTAAACGTGGGTTCTAGGAACCTGAATTCAGGTCTCCAAGCTTGCATAGCAAGAAGTTTATTGACTGAGCCATCATCTCCTCAACCTACATATTAGGTTTTAGTGAGCGACACACGTGTCATTGCATATGATAATGGTATTTGAGCATCCCCTGAGATGCAGAAATGGCCGTTCCTCTTTCCAGTTAGAGATGACTATTCCTGCTTTCCTTCTCTCCCTGCCACAGCACATATCACATTTTATGCAGATACTAATTTTACATGTTACATGTCTCCACCAGATTCCAAGGTGAATAAATCATATCTTCACAGCTGAAAGAAAAAAGAAACAAGGACGATTGTTATTTTTAGATAACACCAACAAACAATTATTAAATGAAGTTAAAAGCACTTTCTCTTTTAATTAAAATTATTTATTATTTTGTGTGCTGTGTGGAGGTCATAGGACAACTTTCAGGGGTCAGTTCCATGCTTCCACAGAGTTCCCCGGGTGGAAGGCAAACACTTTCACTTGCTGAACTAGCTTGCTGGCCCCAAAGCAATTTTATTTAGTTCAAGCAGCTGAGACTAAATCAAACAAAAGATGTGTTAAAAAAAATCTACACGGAATCTATAAAACGTTCCTGAGATGCAGAAAAGCTAAATAAATGGGAGAAACCCCTGTATTTATGAGTCAGTTACTGTTTCCTCCAAAATGATCTGAACAGATTTAAT